TATTATTTTTTTTTTTTTTTTACTTTTCAAAGCAGCCATAATTTGTCTAGAAACAAACATTTGAGACCAGGTTGCCCTCAAACATCTAAATAGCAGTATTGTCTTTAATGGTTTAACAGCCAGGCATGATCAGTGGTGAGCAAAGCTAAAGGAAGTAGTTTAAAAACACTTGAGCAATGGAGATTTGGTTCATAGGTTCTGACCTTGCAAGAAGCCTGGTGAAACCAGGCAGAGCTTGCTATGGGATTTGGGCTACAGTGGGTGCGTCTACACATTCATTGAAGCACCTTAGATACTGTGCATTTAGTTTAGTACTTCCTTAATAGAATACTAACTAAATGCGCAGTACCTAGTTACTACACAGTAGTGCTGGCGCATGGTTATTTAGTGATGCTTACTATGCATTAGCTTAATACCACTGTGCAGTAGGCTATTAGCACAGTTTTGGCCATGACATGCTACTTACTGCACATTAGCCTAATAACACTGTGCAGCAAGTGTCTTGTGTAGACATGCCCAGTTCCTGCAAAACTATCGCTTTCTTTAATCGAATGCTTCAAGATTGTGCTGCTGCTTCCTAAAACAAAGCTGTCTTAATGGTTTTAGGGTAAGAAGTGAGACTCTTTAAATTATGCCTCAGTACTTGTTCAAATCACAAACTTACAGTGGAAACAGAATACTAAGCCTTATTTATAGTGTGATAATTAACTACATCTTATAGTAATTCTTATAATTGTGCAATTATGTGATTACGAATGGATATCATGCCAAAAATGCCTTTATATATAAAGTCCAACAAATTTTAGTTATGAGTGTTTGAATACATCTAGTTTCAAGTAAGAGCCTTCAAGCACTGTTAGTTATTTGCTGTTAGTCCTCTGTGCAATAACTTCTTCCCTTCTGGGTGCTTTAAAGATTAAGTATATATTGTTTGTCTTTCTTGAATGTTTGTTCTGTTCCGGTGGATGAGTTCTAATAATTTTAAGTGTGTGTGTATATTGGCTAATGATGGATTTGTTTCTGTACAGCATGACAGAAGATGTTTAAAAATTTTGCACTTTTTTCTAGTATTTGCAAGTTTGTAATCTAACGATTTTTAAAAAGCACACTTTTTTGTACATAATTATTAAATTAGCTTTGTATATAACTTGGGTCTGGAGCCAATAAAAGAAAGGATTGGATGTGTGTTCTTTCTTTACAGTGGTACATGCAGGTTAAGTATCTATGACAAAATATTGTTTATGGTGTGGACTTCAGGAATTGCTAAGACGTTGGCCCCTTTTCATTAAAGTGGTTACTGTAGGTTGTGGGACAACTGAAAATAACTTGGCCAGGCCTCCTGACCTGCTAATGCCAAGCATAATTTTATTTTGGAGGGGTTGAGAGAAGAAAGGAGAGGTGTTGAAAAGAGAAAAAAATCCCTTTTCTCCTGAGTAAAGAAGAGCCAGACCCCTGTACATGGATGAGCTGAATTTCTTGCATTTCCCAGTAAGGTAATGAGGGAATGGCTGGAGAACGAGGAACTTTTCAGGTGGCACGTTAGGTTCCTCATACCCTTACTTCACTTGCCCCTACATAATAAATCCTCATTTTAGCTACCAGAAAGAACTTGCTTTCTTATATGCTCCCATTTTAACTATACACAATAAAGTAGTGCCACATCAAACTCAGGAATGCTTTCCCTGACTAGAAAAGTACTGAGATGAACTATTTGCTAAACAGTGGCTGCATCTACACGTGTGCTTTACTGCAGAGTAGACTAATTAGCTGTGGAGTAAAGCATTACTGTTTATATGAGTGCTGATATTAGGCCACAGTAAACTAATTTATATTGATTGAAAATAGTACTGTAGGGGACAGTACAATCTTATGGCTGGGTAACTGACTGCGATTAAACACGTGTAGATGCTGACTGGGTGCAAATTGTGTCCAGTCAGCCTAGCCAGCTGGGAGCCAAACTCCTGCCTGCTGCCTAGCCACACAGCTCTGCACTTTCAGCACCAGCACTTTCATGCCCCAGCCAACCCTGATGCCACTACCTGGAGCTCAGGATTGTGCCCCCTTCCCCACCCCAACCCTCCTGCTTCATGTCAGCTTGGGCCTGCTCCGCCTTAGCTCAAATTGGTGCTGTCTTGGGTACACCTGTATACATTGTGCCTGGGAGTAGCTTACTCTGGCCCAAACTGCTCCAGAGTTGATTGCTTCCCAATAATTGCATGTGTAGACACACCCAGTAAGAGCTGAGGTAATGTGTACATTTAAATCCAGCTTTATTTATAGAAGTAAGTCCATTTTCCCCCTCATTCCCAAGAACTGGAAGCTTCTTTTTCATCTCTTTCCATCTGGATACTGTAGTGCTGCATCTTGTTTCACTTTTAAGAAAGATTATGGTGCTTGGGGGTTAGCAGCCATCAGCAGGAAACTGAAATCTGTACCAGGCTCATGTTCAGTTGGTGGCTTACCCCTGCAGTCAAAACAGATTGTGCTATAAGCTTACATTTCTCCTTTAACTGCTAACAGAGAACTTTTAGGAGCCAGTCCCAATAAAAGAAGAAAACACATTTTCTTACGTCAAAAGCAGCAGTGAGTGCCCAATGAAGGTAACTGGCTAGTTTTATAGACATTTATTTATTGGTCCATAGTACTACTCATGAAACTAGACTAGAAATGTATGGCTATTAGAACTCAGTCTTGCACTTACTCAAATCTGATGGCACTGATCCCTTTTATTA